TTTCTTGAAATTGTTTTTGAGATGATGATGTTTGTGCTGGTGTCTGCTGTGGCCATGCTGATCAATCCATATGCTGCAAATCCTGTCAGTAACGACAACCTAAACCATATCATTGACCTGACTAAGAAGTACAACAGAGATCTGAATGAGGTAAGGGTTCATCGCATAAGCACAATTGTTTGAGTGACACTTAGCTTGAAATTTTTGTAACATTATTTTGGTGCCCTAACCTTTAAAAAATGTTTGCAATGTTCAGTTACAAATATTTTTTCTATTAAATTCTATTAAATTTTTTGGTGCCTTATCTAGACAAATGATTCAATATGTTATAAGTGTTAGCTGACAAAAGTAATTTTTTCTTGGATCTTACAGAGGTTCTTTGTGGAGGATGTGTCTGACCTGGCTGACAATGGATGTGGGGTGAGGAGACATTTTTTCATGTCTTTGAAACAATGTTCCTTTTAATTCATTCAGTTTTCTTGAATTGTTCTTCTGATTGGCAGTTTGAGTTGGTTATTTATTTATTTTGACAAACTGCAGAAAAAACACTAGCCAACTTGTATAATTGTAAATGCACGTGTTTTTAAAAGCTTATAAATCCGTCCTTGTGTTCCGTACAGAATAACTTCTTCTGCAAAGTGAATGACATCCTACAAAAGCATGCCAAAAATGACAACGAGAAAGAAATTGTGAGAAACCTGGAAATATTCATTAAGAAATCAGATGTAAGTTATCTATTTTGACACATCTCCAACTTAAGAACAACAAATCTGTGTAGTCTGTGAAGGTTCTCAGTCATCCAGGTCATCATAGTCTAAGAAGCTTGGAAAGAAAAGCGTCACTCTGTGTTGTAAATATTTAGAGACAATGTGCTAACCTCACTTTAGGTAGACAAATACATCTGCAAAACTGAGCATATATACTGAACACAGATTCCTGTCTTTCAGATAAACTGCAAAGAAGTACTCAAGAAAGTACGGCCATCAGACAAAGAACAGCTACTACCTGATTTGCTGGGAAACCTCACCAAATGTATTCTAAGGAGGTCTAATCCATTTGAAATGGATTCCACAGACAAGTCTTTTTCAGACTTTTACTTTTGTTTCAAGAAAATACCATGTTAGAGAGATATTTGAACTGTCTGATATGTGATCACTTGAATGTTTTTCATAATTCATAAAGTGTACGGGTTAGCCCGTTTGTTTGCCAAGCATAAGTTTCCAATTCAATTCTGGCCAGAAATACAAATTCCTTTTTGGAATACAACAAAAAAGAACAAAGGTTGTGAAACTGGATATTTGTTTTAGCTTATAGTATAGTTTAGTAAGCTATTAGTATTTTCTTTTCTTTTTTATGCCTTTATCATCCTTTTAGACAAGTGACCTGTCCAAGATGTACCCTGCCTCTTGCCCTATGGCAGCTGGGATAGGCTCCAGCCACCCATGACCCTTAAGCTAAAGAGATGAATGGATATATTGTCATTAAAACGTTGAGCAGTTCAATCATATATTCAAATTGTTTATTACCCACATACTTAGGTCAATTCTAATACCTATTAAAGTGAAACTTATTTAGAGATCTAATAATGGGTAACTTTGACAGTTTTGTGTTCTATTTTGACAGGTTTGTGACATATGGTGGGTAGAAAATTGGTTATTTTTGAAGTATGGGTCGCTTTGATAGCACAAACAGTCCAAAGTTGTAGAATTCCATAATTGGTGAAATTTATAGCCTATATTTGCCAGTACAAACTGGTTTACAGTTATAGAAATGCTAACCTGAGCCATATACCTCTCAAAACTAACTGTAAAAATGTCTGGGAAGAATTGCCCAGAAGGTAATGCAATACAAGTTTTGAATATCATAGAGGGGTCACAATTGTGTAAACTGACACATTGATTCAAGTAAGACATGAATAAATTAGGGTTGTCAACGTTAACGCATATCAATCCATCATCACAATTAACACGATTAAAGCAATTAACCCATCTGGAGCGCAGAATGACTCAAGTAAAGCTCAAGTAATCTCAAAGTGGTTTATTCAACATGATAATGAGGGGGGAAAATGTAATGCAAACAAACATATACGTTCATTTTAGAGAAACAGTTCCTTTTCTGCTTATTGACTGCAACTTCATCATAAGCCTTATCTCACAGTCACCTCAGATTGCATTTGTAACCCACAAACATGCCAAAGACGTAGGCAAAGCAAGTGTAAGTAATCTGATCTGAACCAACATCTCACAACAACCTGCCAACTGAGCAAAACAACCACTTTAAGGGCTTCTGCTTGAAAACATGTTTACTACTTTGTGGATTCTGTTATCAACTTTCTTCTGAAAGTACCACTTTTTTTCTCTACTGTCTATAGGTTGTTCTTTGGAGAAACATTGATTCTATTCATTGATCACAAATTAATTACACATTTCATCTTACTGTCTGCATTTGGATTTTTTTGTAACTGGTGAATGTGATGAAGGTATGGGCAAAGCAAGTACAAATAATCTGCTCTCAGCCAAGACATCACAACAGATTACAAGCTGAGCAACACAACAGAACAAGGTCTTCAAGGCCAATTTCTTGAAATTGTTTATGAGATGATGATGTTTATGCTGGTGTCTGCTGTGGTCGTGGCAATCCATCCATATACTGGAAATCCTGTCTATCATGACATTCTAAACATATCTTTGAACAATACAATGAAACTCTCACTAAAGTAAGGGCTCATCTTATAAGCACAAATGTTTTCTTGACTGTTAACTATTAACACTCATACACACAGTTTTTGGGGGGGTTGTTTTATATACTTTGTTCAAGCCTTCATTTTCAGTTCATATCTGTACTCCCTTTAAGCCAACATTCTTCTGATTGGCTGCCCATCCCTAAAAGAAGGTTTGAACTGCAGGTGGGTGGAAGTGCAATACTGGCAGTCAGAGCTGTGTACTTGTGATAACCATGACATCACACAGCAGCAAAAGTAAACATAAATAAATAAATAAAAATGGCAAACTGAGCATAATTTATATGTGATTTTTGCTGATAGTAAATGATGCTTAATACTTACCAGAATATAATCAAATATTTTAAAAAATAAGTACATTTAAGTTTAACCAATATAACAAATATGGAAGAAATGCAATGACGTGAGTTTGCAATTTAAGCTTAAATCCTATATTAAATCATGTATGTGGAAAGGTCAGATGGATAGAGAGAGGATGTTGAGGTGTGGCTGGATATTTGGTGATTAGATATTAATAATGTGATTGGATGTCTCTATGGGTGAGAAGAGATATAATTTCAGAAGATGTGTGAAAAGAGAGTATGTTGAGAAGATCTAGTTGCCATTTAAGCACGCTGTGATTATACTGCCTTTAAGCAGAGATTCAAGTAATGGTTAAGAGGACAGCAAGCATATCAGTGAGTTGAAGGACAGGCTGAAAGCGTGATAGTGTCACTGTTTTTTTTCTTTCCTCTTGTCATTTTTTTTCTTCCCTGGTTGATTTTACATTAAAGGCCGTATTTTAAACAGCATTCTGTTCTTTTACTGGGTTTGTCTTTATGTCAACTGGGACAGGTGCAATATTATAGTCTGGCAATGTGCAGTCCCCAAGGCTTAAACTAGGTGACAGGAAGGGAGTTCAGACAAGAAGTTCACTTAAATATAAACTAATTTATTAAAGATGATCTAACCAAGACATTATCAGTGGAGGCAGTGAAGACGTCTAGCCTTTGAGGTAGTTACAGCTGGGCATGCCCCCTCACTTCTCAGGCTTCATGAGCTTTGCACTGCCTACTGGGTAAGATCAATAGGATCAGATGTTAACAAATTTTTTTAGCAGAAGGCCAATCCAGGCTTCCTGTGTTGGGGTGCTGTTCCCTGACGATCGACAAGCAGCAGACCACACCAGGTCGCACTGCTGACACCTAAGGAAAGGAAACTGAGGCTACAAGTCACACAGTGCCACCAAAGTTAGAGACTGGAAAGTTTCAAAAATGTTGTGTGGTCTGATGACTTTATTTCTGCTACAACATTCACACAGGCAGGTTCGGAATTTGACATAAATAACATAAAAGCATGGACCCATCCTACATTGTATCAGCAGTCTAAGCTAGTGGTGGTGGTGGTGGTGATGGCACAATGATAATTGATATCTTCTTGGCACACTTTGGGTTCCTTTGTACCTACTGAGCATCATTAAACTGTAAAAGCCTTAGTACTGTTGCTGATCATGTCTATCCTTCTGATGACCACAGTGTACCCATTTTCTGATGGCTTCTGGTTGTATTTTCATAATGCTGAACTTTTGGCATGCCATCGTTTCTCATTCTGTCCTTTTAAGGGAACATATTAATTTCATTTTCAGCAGTTCTTAGTTTTGGTCTAATTCTTGTTCTCTATCAGAGTAACTTTGCAGGATTCCCTCACACCAGAACATGGTGCAGACCCTGAGGTCATCCACTGTCTGAAATGGCTCCCTTTAAGCAGACTTTCTTCTGATTGGCTGCCCCTCCCAAAGCAGCTGATTGAAGCTGCCGAACTCACAGTCACAGCAGTGTACCTAAAAAGTCTAGAGGTGCTAATTCAAAATAAGACCAAGACAATTTTCAACTGCACTTTAAAATGTGAAACTACATTTTTTAATTATTTACTTTTTTAATAGGAGGAACTATAATGAGTCTACATGTCATTTATTTGTGTGCACTAGCCGTGATGGGTCTTGAAGAAGCGTTGCAGAAGCGTTTAGAAGTTCAAATGATTGCTCAAATATTAATGATTCTGTAAATCATTCAGCCCACAGAACTTCTAAAGAACCCTCTTTTTTTAGTAGAATGCACTCAACTAATCGGGGCACCCCAGAAATACATTTGTGCAAATGCTGGTACCCTCTCTGAAAGAAACACGTTTCACCACTCTTTTCCCTCTTGCCTTACACAATTACCCATCACTCAGTGACTTGATGCAATGTGAGAGCTATGGGGAGGCTTGCCGTTGGTGGTGGTTGGGTCTCTTTGTGGCTTTCAGCTGTGTGTATGTGCGCTACTGAACCATGGCTCCCTCATTACTTAATTATAAAGAGACTCTTCTTTTCCA